CCACACCCACAGTTTTGACACTGTTGACCCCCCCCCCTTCCCCATGAATATGCTGTGAAATATGATCTCCATTCTACTTTTACATCATTTCCTGGTTTCCTTCTGATCACATCACCAATATTTAATGTCACAGTTGATCATTCAGCGGTAGCAGTTTAGCTCGCACCATAACTTAAGAGAGCAGTTTTCTACCATCTTCAGATGGAAAAGTCATAGAATAAGCTTAACAAGAACAACCCCCTGATAAAAGTTAAAATAATTCCTAGGACTGTTAATATATATCAGATGGCACAACCCACTTATTTTGCCCACCATGGACCTTGTCTCCTCCAAAGAGAAAATGAAACACATTCAGCATCTATCAAAAAGTTTGACTACTCTTGCTTCAATTGCGTGAACAAAGCAACAAAAATTACAAGAGGAAACTGGATCAAAAGGACAAGATCTAAAGTAGAACAACACAGGAGAAAAGTAAGATTAAAGATAGAAAAAGAAAAAAAGGAAGTCAAGTAGGAAAAGAGTGAGCAGGGCCCAGCTTAATGCTATTTGAACTGAAATAACAAGCAACTGAAGCTCAACCTGACATGCACATATGTGTAATGTGTAGTTCAGCCCTAGGTGTAGTTGAGCAGAGGCTGAAAGAAGAGTAAAAACATTCCAACCGATAAGACAATACCAAACATCAAGAGCCATTGTCCATGCAGACAGAATGACAGACAGATGGACGAACTGATGGATGGACAGACAGACAGACATTTGGGATTCACAAACATTGCAAGAAAACTAGAAGGAATGCTCCCCAATCCTCTGATGGAGTATATCAAATAAGAAACAATAAATTGCTTATCAGTTCCTGAGGCTCTCATGTGTCCTGTGCTTTGCTCTGATTCACTGCAGCTGGGAAATTCTCATTCAGCAGAGCAAGGAAACAGCTGATGTTGAAAGATGCGGAAAACAGAAGGAGGAAGCGTGTATGATGCCCAGGTTCATAGGCACACACACACACACCCAAAAAACTTTGATTCAGTGCAAACGACAGAAGGCTAAATGGTGTTATTCTTAATTATTGTCCATGTCTGGTCTAATCACTACGAGTCTGGCAAAAAGGAAAGAGGAGATGGAGCCCTGTTTATCTGAACTGGGAAAGAGAGAGCACCACCTTGATTTACATTCCAAGGGTACCATCTAGTGGTTAGTGTGAAACAGGCGATATTGGTTGAGGAGGAAAGTGATTTGCAAAGCTTATTACAAAAGCAACCTGTAGAGGACTGCTTATTTATTTACTTACTTACTTATATTAATGGTCTTGGGAAGAATTCTTTGCAAAGCTAGCTTTGATGATCGTGCAGATTATGTTACATTTTATTTTTCTATATCAGCACTACGTTGACTCAGTTTGGACAACATGTTTCTTGCATGCAAAGCTTATTAAAAGCATGGAGGCTCTAATGAATGTGCCTCAATGGATATAATGGTAAAAGATAGTGGAGTTAGGGTCGGGCTGAGAAGTTAAAAGAACAGCAACAACAACAAAGCCGTGTTCAAAAGGAAAGTGGTTTGTCACTTCCATTCTCAGGAAACTGCATGGATACAGTCACCAGGAGGTGATCGTATTTATGTAAGGACTGATATGGCCATCCAACAACAGTGTGACTCCAGGCAGCATACAGCAATAAAAACAAAATTACACTGTCCCCAGTTACAAAAACAGCCCAAAATCAACAAGAAGAAAACACAGTACGGATACACAAACATACACTACACCTTGCAGGGCAAGTTTATCTAACATCCTGGCCCCAACACCCAAGGCAGTAGCCAGGTCTTCAAAGCTTTTCTGAAGGTTTTGATGGCCTTTCTGAAACCCAGTAAGGTAGGGGCCATCTTGATCTCTGGGGGAATGATATTTCAAAGAATGCAGGGCAACAATTGAAAGGCCGACCTCTGAGGCCTTTGAAGGCAGCAATTTCTAAATGAAGAGACCTGAAGTAGTCCTTCTACCAAAACTTATCAGATTGGAAGAACAAATTAGGAGAAGGTATTCCTGAAGATATTCAAATCCTATGCCATGAAGTGACCAACACCTTGGTTTGCATCCAGAAGCTGTCTGGTAATCAGCGTAGTTCTTAATAGCAGTATCCCAAGAGTAGATCATGATGGAACCATCACTACTCAAGCCACATTCTAGACCAGCTATAGTGCTCAGGTAGTCTTCAAGGGCAGCCTCGTGTAGATATATTTCACTTGTCTTCCATTTTGTTGGTAAATTCCTTATGAAATAAAAACTGGTGCAGTCAAACAATTTACACTGTTTCTTCAGAAACCAGCACATAGTCTGTTTAAGGTTGTCTTTCAAATTGCAAATTCTGCATTATAGAGCGGTTATATGTAACTTAGAAAATGCCTGATTCTTGGTAAGGAACACACATTCTAAGGCATTTTAAATTGATATGCCTTAGGATGCAGTCATTTATAAATCACACCCCGCTCATCAGCAACATATGGATGAATTCAACATTGCACGCACTACCTTAATTTCTACATAATTAATGTGGATCGTGTAATTAAAAGATTACAAATGTGCCTGGAACGAAGGGTCTGTTGGTGTCAGAATCTGGTTTGAATCTTTTCATAAAGTCTAATTATATGCCAAACATTGTTGCCTAGTCTAATGTCTAATTAACATTAGAAGCAAGAACGCAACTTTTCATATTTTAAACTGGGACACATGGAGAAGAGGGGATTAATTAATTAATGTTTCTGTCTATCCACTTGACCAAAAACAAAGCAGAAAGTGGTTTTCCAACTGCTAATATATTCTAGCTATTGTGCTGTTTTGTAGCAAAATAGCTGGAATATGCATATATTGGCATTAGATTTGGCTCATAAAATTACTATTGTATATTTTGCTTGGGAATTTATCTGGGTCCTTAAGGCTGTTAATATGTCTTGCCCTGTATATGAAAAGCTGGCCATACATTAATATTCATGACCTTGAAGAAACATTTTGATTCTAAGCAGAAAGAAGTAAACATAGATCATGGCTGGTCCAGTATCTTTGCCATCCATTTCAAATTCCATATGCAGAAGCCCACCAGTTGGCAGTTACATCTTATTTCAATAGGCATGAGGGCACAGCATTTTCCTAAAGGCAGCAAGGAGTTTTGAGGGTTGGGAAGGCTACCTCTCCGTCCCATATTGCCACTGCCCAGGTCCATAAGCTGCTGTCAACTGAGAAAGCCATCTCATTCATCCTAATGATATGTCCATAAATATGGATTATGTCCATGAAGGCAAACTATCTGAGAATGCACAAAAGCTGACTACTTCTTGAAGGTTTCAGCCAATCAACTCTATCTATCTATCTATCTATCTATCTATCTATCTATCTATCTTTATATAACCGCCCATCTCACACAAGGTGACTCTGGGCGGTGTACAATTAAAAAATAAATACATAAAAACAATTACACATAAAAAACTGGAAAAGCACATAAAACAGGAAGGGATAAAATTAATAAGGGAGCCATCGTAACATCTCCCAGGTCCCCTGCGAGCCCCATCACATAACCAGGTCTTGAGGGACTCATGGAATGTTAAGAAGGATGGGGCTAATTTCACTTCACTTTCTATATTTCCCCTCAAGCCATAATGGAGGCAGAGAAGGAAATGGCCTATGTGTCATGTTGCCAATAACTCCATTATCCATCATGGTTCATTCTCTAATGCCTTAGCAAGCTCACCACTATTCTTCCTGCCTGACCACAACTTATGAAACTTAAATGAATTCAGCTAAATGTTAAGTTCTATCCAGTCTTTCCCAGTTTGGATACCCTCCAGAAGTACAGATTTTAACTCCCAGAATTCTCCAGCTAGCCAGGCCATCACTGAGAATCCTGGGAATTGGTCCACACATCCAAAGGATGCCAAGACTAGGAAATGGTACCCTATGTCTTTATGTAGAATAGCTCTAGCTTCAGAAGTTTCCTCTCCTCTCCTACCTTTTGCCACCCTTAAAGCAGGTTAAAACTCGAAATACAACTTTCTTCCAACCACGACTGTCTAGACAGAGCTGTAAAACAGAACATCAGCTTCTCTTCCGAACATATTAGCTGCAGCAAACCAGAGATTGACTAAATTGTATACTTCAGTAAATCTCACCTTCAAACCAAAATCACACTCCTCTTTGGTTACTTCCCATAGGAAACATAACTTTCACATAAGCAGATATATGAATGCCATCTTGGTCTCATATACTTCCATTATTACTGCGTTCATGTTCTATATGTACATGAGAATAGAGGATGGAAACTCTGACCACAAAGTTGGTAAAATATTGAAGCATTAAGCTATAGACTAATGGAATCTCAAAACTGCATGGGTGGATAGGAAAAGATCAAAACCAACTAGGCAGAAATCTTTTCATCTCCTCCTATTTTAAGGATTCCAAGCCAGGTCCAAAATTATGCCTTTTGGTGGTGTGCTGGGAGTTGCACTCCAAAATGTAGGTGGAGTCAGGATAAAAAGGTAGGTAGGATAAACTCTAAAGTTGATCTGATGGAAATCTAACGGATGTTTAAGTTAATACGGTTAATATGATTGTATTCCAGTACTTCATGTTTGTTTTCTATTACATTTAAGAATACTGTTTATGGCTGGAGAGCTCCAGGGAATACCTGTGTGTCTTTGAGAAAGGCACACGTGTTCCTTGCAGTTTAGGCTTCAGATTCCTGTCCCAGCTCATCTATTGTACAAAGATGCTGTAAGTTGCACCAGAGATCTTCTGCAATTCATTGGTGACTTTTTACCTTTTTGATTTGCAAGCTTAAAGGTATGGGTCTGTTTCTTATGGGCATATATATGTACAGAGCCTGATGCCATTTTGGAATGCTTTTAATATTTTAACCAGAAAAGTGGGATTAAGATATGAAGAAGAGAAAAATGGTCAGTAAAAGCCACAAAACTCAGGGTTAACTCTTCAGTGACCTTTATTTTTTCCTACACAAGACACCATTCATTTAGCATGATATTTCTGAAAAGGCCTTTTATGTATCCTCAGGTACAAATATTTTGATACAAAACCTTTTAAAGGAAAAAAGGAACTGAAGTTCAACCACTTGGGCTCACCGTGGGAGAGGGGCAGTGATGATAAACAAATGTGAGATGGACAGCATGGCTTGAGGTTCACTTTTTAGTCTTCTGAAGCCAACAGGAATGGTAGTATCCCTGGGTGGCTGGTAGCTTCAATACCATCTGAGATGATATCCTGCCTTGGCAGAGAAGAATGTGAATTGTGTGACATTATAAAGGTGACAAAAACATCATAGCTAGAGTCTCCTTCAAAACCAGTGTCCTGCACTTCCTGCTTGATTTGACTATGACACTTTTGTTTGCTGAGAGTGTAGTCAGCATTCAAGGTTGTCCTCAGGGTGTGGTCAAAAAAAGTCAAGATGATGGCCGCCAGAATGCAATTGAAGCTCCACCCATTTTGCATGTGTATCACACGGAAAAATGGGTGTAGTTCAATCACACCATCATGGCTACTGTCTTGATTTTTTTTACCACACCCTGAGGACATCCCTGGTAACATTAGGAGGGATTAGGTCAGCAGCATAATTGCCATCATTGTAAATACGTTCATAGATGAGTCCATTGTAGAAAACTCCAGATGTGACCTTTTAATACCAGGTGTTATGCTGCTATGAGCAGAAATATCAGCCTTGGTTATTATTGTTCTTGTTATTATTATTAGATATCTAAACTCACCTTCTTTTTCCAGGCTTGTAGCAGATGCATCTTATTCTAATATGTCCTATCAAGTATTATATAATTCTTTCATCTACTCATAGGTATTTCATAGTGAATTATATATTTACCATTTTTTTAAAAAAATCATAACATTCAAAGTCACATAAGTCAAATTAAGTTCTTTAAAAAAACTAAGGGCACAACGGACCCCCACCCCCCAAAAATACAGAAAATCCCAATTACCATTCACAGAACTTGCAAAAAGAATGCATTAAAACATAAAAGATGTATATATTAAGCTTTGATTAAAATGATTCTTCAGGTAATTAATGCATGCATATTCTGTGAGGTAAGAAATGTTTAGTGTCATTCAATAAACAAGAACATACAAGCTTTTGCTGTGATTTATATGCGAAAGATTCAACTTTTTCATCTCCCAAAACAAAGACACTTCCAATAGTTGGACCTTGGGTACCATCTGAAAGAGCTCTCCAGCTGTATCAGCAGAAGTCTTCTGGTATCCTCATTTTAAGTTGGGAAGGAGCCACATTATCCTACATTTTAAACAGTGATCCTGTTTTCTAGAATGGCAAGCTTTTTTGATACAGCTTCAAGTGAGCAAGAATTAAGGAATAATATACATAGAAAGAAGATGAATATCTTTTCAATGGCTATGTTATGGAGATGGACTGAATAAAAATCATGAAATACTGTACAAAGAACAAAGATATATAAAAACAAAGTTGCTGGATACAGCTACGAATCCTCTAAGCCAGTATTTCTCAACCTCAGCAACGTTAAGATGCATGGGCTTCAACTCCCAGAATTCACCAGCCAGCATGGGACTTGAAGTCCACACATCTTAAAATGGCTGAAGTTGAGAAATACTGCTCTAAGCAAAATAGAAATATCAGCTGTCCTGAAAAATGGTTTGCCCAGTTGTTCCCCCATCACCACCAAGTTCCTGCTGCTGATCCCAGAGATCTCATACATCCCTGGATATAGTCCAAGAATGAACATTCACTCTTTGCTGAAAGTCACATTCTTTTGAGAATGATCTGTTGAAGGTTCTAATGTCTGCCAAGAGTGGAGGTCACTTAAGCAAACAGTGGGGAGGGGTGAGAATGGCATCCTTCTGTCTTTCTGACCTCTCCATTGTCTTTCCAGTATCATTTTCTTCCCCCCCCCCCCCCCCCCCCCCCCCCCCCCCCCCCCCCC